TTGTATCATTGACATTATTTGATCGAGAAGCTAATAAAGTTTTGAATGAAATGGCAACAGAGTTGTATGAAAAAGTTAAAGAGGTAAGGTTAGTGGTTTTATAAAATTATATTTGCTCGTAAGTATTTAACTGTTTTTGGACGAAGAGGTTCTGGGCAGATGAATAACAGGCTGTACATAATCAGATGGGCTTTAATGTGAATCCTTGTAGGCCTTCATTGATTTATTACACGGCCTCTTTATACTGTATGCAGATATTCAGACTCGCTATACAGAGCTCTGAAGTATGCAGGGTTGTTCTTAATCCTACTTTGAAGATTAGAAGCCTTGTATGCAGAGTCACAAATCTATAGGAAACTTACTTACATAGAGGCTCTGCGTGGAACATGCAGAGCCTCTATACAGATCTGCATTGAGTATCCAAGCAACTTCAGGTGCGCTCCATGATACATGCAGATAGTCTGCGTAATTCTGTATGAAGCACGGAATCAAGATCAGAGGTTCTACGTAGCACAAGAAGAGACAGGGCTCTTACTTAAAAGCTAAGTGTATTATGTACAAAGATCGTCTTCTATGTCAATTATCGTAGAGATCATCTTACATGAAGCAGAGATACCATCCCTGGAGCAAGAGAAGGAGCCAGGCTTGAAAACATCTAGACCTTCTTGTCTTAGCATTTTTTTCAGCTTTCAAGCATTGTACTTTCGTTTCAATCGTATTGTACTTTTTGAATAGTTAATGTAAAACAGAGGTTCTTTTTAACCTCTGCCTTCAACTAAACTTATGTTTTTAATTCAAGTAAGAACCTTCTTTCTTTTTAACTTCTATTGGAGTATCGAGAACTTCTTATGTTTTTCTTCCTTTTTTCCTAATTTAAGAAAAAGGATTGGCTACAAAAACGTTAAAAATCCCTCCACTTCTGAAGTAATATTCGTGGTTCGGGTGTACAACTACATTGTCTCTCGTATTTGGTATTGTTTTGGTGATTGGATTTTGGTTTGTACAATGATCTGTTAATTGGTGAATGTAGTATGCTATAAGCTTTCATTATTTTTTGTTTTGGATTTAATATTAAACTTATTTGCATGAGTAACACAGAGGCTCTGCACTTAAGTGTTGAGAAAGAGCTCTATCTCTTCATGTGCTACGTTGAGGCTCCCCTTCTTCATATAGACCATAACATAGGTTCTGCACGTGCTACATTGTCACTCTAATGGCTCCGTGCTTCATACAGAGCTTCACAAAGGCTCTACACTTAAGTGTTCAGAAAGAGTTGTCTCTTCATGCCCTACGTTAAGGCTCCGCCTCTTACTCTAAAAGTGGACTTCAAACTTGTAACTTTGGACCATCCGAGTCTTAATTCTTGGAAATTTATTCACCCTTGTGCCTATCAAGCCTGACTTCGTTCTTCATACAGACCTTAACAGAGGTTCTGCTCATGCTATGGCATCACTCTAACCCTGCCTCCGTGGTTCAGACAGAGCAAGACAGACGCAAGTGTTGAGAAATAGCTCTCTCTCTTCATGCCTTACGTTGAGGCCCTGACGCTTACTCTGAATGTGGACTTCATAATTGTAACTCTATACGGTTCGAGTCTTAACTCTGAGAAATTTCTTCACCCTTGTGCCTGTCAAGCTTCACTCTGTTCTTCATATAGACCTTCACAGAGGTTCTGCACGTGCTATGCGGTCAATCTGAGCCAGGCTCCGTGGTTCATACAGAGCTCCACAGAGGCTCTGCACTTAAGTGTTGAGAAAGAGCTTTGTCTCTTCATGTTGTATATTGAGGCTCCCCTTCTTCATACAAACCTTCACAGAGGTTCTGCACATGCTACGCCGTCACTCTAACCTTGCCTCCATGCTTCATACAGAGCTACACAGAGGTCTGTACTTAAGTGTTGACAAAAAGCTCTATCTCTTCATGTCCTACCTTCAAGCGTCACCTCTTACTCTGGAAGTGTAGTTCAGACTTGTAACTCTGCACCGTATCCAGTTTAAACTCTGGGAAGTTTGTTCACCCTTGAGGTTGTCAAGCCTAACTCCGTTCCTCATACAAACCTTCATAGAGGGTCTGCACGTGCTACACCGTCAATCTAACTCTGCCACCGTGCCTCATACAGAGCTATACAGAGGCTCTGCACTTAAGTGTTGAGAAAGAGCTCTATCTCTTCATGTCCTACGTTGATGTTTCCCTTCTTCATACAGACCTTCATAGAGGTTCTGCACGTGCTACACGGTCACTTTAACCCTTCCTTCGTGCTTCATACAGAGCTACACAGAGGCTCTGCACTTAAGTGTTGAGAAATTGATCTATCTCTTCATCTTCTACGTTCAGGCTGCGCTGAATACTCTGAAAGTGGGCTACAGACTCTGGACCATTTGAGTCTTAACTATGGGAAACTTCTTCACCCTTGTGTCTGTCAAGCCTCCCTCCATTATTCATATAGACCTTCATAGAGGTTCTGCACATGCTATGTCGTCACTCTAACCCTGCATTTGTGCTTCATACAAAGCTACACAGAGGCTCTGCACTTAAGTGTTGAGAAAGAGCTCTGTCTGTTCATGTTTTACGTTGAAATTCCCCTTCTTCATACAGACCATGACAGAGATTCTGCACGTGCTACGCTATCAATGTAACACCACCTCCGTACTTCATACAGAGCTACACAGAGGCTCTGCACTTAAGAGTTGAGAAAGAGCTCTGTCTCTTCATGTCCTACCTTGAGGCTCCGCCTCTGACTCTGAAAGTGTACTTCACCGCCTTGTAACTCTGGACCGTTTTGGGCTTAAACTCTGGAAACTTTTTCACCCTTGTGTTTGTCAAGCATGACTCCATTCTTCATACAGACCTTCACAGAGGTTCTGCACGTGCTATGCCGTTACATATTTCGGTGATCCCAAAAACTTCTAAATAAATACTTATTTCACAAGGATAGGTCTGATATCCTTTTCCAGAGTTAAAATAAATGGTTTACTTCAGAGTCATTTCAACAGTACGGTTCTTGTATTAAACGTATGAACCCGTCAAAGTTAAATGTAAGAGTTGAAAGCTAACTCTGACTGGTTTGATTACAGACTTATACAATAACTTTCATACGTGGTTTGATAGACGTACAATGTGCATTAATGTTTAAACCATGTAATACGGCTCCAAAATAGTACTAAACAGACTTCAGATTTGGATTTAAATTGTAAATTGTAATTCTTGAGTATCAATGTGTCGAGTTCCCTGAAACTAGTTCTAAAATGTTACTTTCAGCATGTCTCAGTCTGAAATACAATACAAATGTTACTAATTGATGTCCGTATGTCCATTCATATATAACTGTAATTTTTACATTGTAAATGTTTTCTCAAATTTATTTCACATAGTTATTATAGAACTGTAGGAAACTCACCTTCCATGAATTGTTTATCATTCATCAACCTTGGCAGATTGTTGAAATGTTTCTTTCAATAAAAACCCATGGCTTTAAATTTTCCAAAGTTATATTGTGTAGTAATTTGTCAGCCTTAAAATAAAACTCCAATACCTTTTCTCCAACTTAAAACTCTGTTATGACATTGGTTTTCATAGTTTGCCGGATTTATAAATATGTTAATGTAGAAATTTGAAATATGCAACATGCTTTTCCAAGAACCTATTACTTCTGGTCTTCTACACTTAATAGTTAAAAGTCTGAATTCCATACTTGAACATTAAACTGCATCCTTTGCATAACATGGTGAAGACATAAGTTATTTTAGGTGATAATGTTATAACTTAATTTAAATATATCATTTATATTACGTTTAGGTTTTCCTTATAAGTAAAGAATGTTATTTCATGTATATAATACAATCACTAATTGCAAGTCGAAACAAGATCCATCAAAACATTGTTTCTACCCAAAAGCCTATGAAGAATTGAATGATGAGAGGTTTTGAACAGGTATATAACTCTTTTAAATTTTTATGCATAAAGACAAAGTCATATGTAAAATCTGTTCCAAAATAAGATGAATATATTTAAAGTCATATTAACAAATTATATAGCCCTTTCCTTCGCTTTCTAAAATCCTGTGAAATCAAAGCTACTGAAAAGTATACTAAAAAGGAAATTTGCACACAGTGAAAGATATGAATGACATATACACATTAAACATTGTATCTACTCATAGTAACTCTTCCKGTAATACCTTGGTAGCTATCTGATTTTTACAAAAGGATTTGAAAGGAATGAAGCCTGGTCCGATGCAATCACCCTTCTTTTCATAATCATAAAAAACAAAGTGATTGCATCAAACCAGACAATATCCCTCACAAACCACTCCTTATTTTCTTCTCTGAAGAGACCATTCATTCATCTTCTTCTTCCTTTAAGCCCTAATATTGTTTCATCTAATTTGAATCTGCAAATAGGCACAAAAAAAAAAGGAGACTCGGGTGTAGTGTGGAAATTTATTGGAAATCGTAAAGGACATATACTATTAAATATATAAAGATATTTTTAAAACTGACGGTTGAAATGACCTCCCAAAGTTGTAAATAAATTTATACTTTTTTCAAATCCGATAATTGTTAAAATAAAATATTCCCTACTCCTCACCTCTCACCCATTTTCGACTCCTAAACTTCTCTGTTCCTTTTTCATCGCAAAACAGATATTCATAGAGGACTGCTTCACGTTACCTCTGATCAAGCAAATGGAGCACAAAAGGCATATAACAATGGAGGTTCCGGCAACGTCAAAGAAGTTTTCTAACCAAGAAGAGTTATCATTCCCAAAACTTATAAGGATATCAATGACCGATCCCTATGCAACTAATTCTTTAGAAAATGAAGATGACCAAAATTTTGGATGGTGGCGTGTGAAGAAGTATGTTAATGAAATCAACATACAACCGTCGGGCAAAGCTACAATGATGCCTCTCAATGGGAATATGACGACAACCAGAAACAGCCCATCGGCTGTAGAATCGAAACAGAAAGCTATGAAGAAGAAGAAAAGTCCAGAGGGTAATGTTAGGAAGTTCCAAGGAGTACGGAAAAGACGTTGGGGTAGATGGGCAGCGGAGATTATGGATCCGGCTACACGCCAGCGGTTGTGGTTGGGGGACATATGATACGCTGGAGGAGGCTGCAAGGGTATATGATAATGCTTCCATTAAACTCTGTGGTGCTGGTGCTATTACAAATTTCGTTATGCCAACGGTCTTGGAAAACCCACCGCCGACGAATGTTACATCAATGTCCGACCATCATCCCAACCAAAAGTCGCTCAAGCTTCCACCTACAGATGCACCACCTTTGGATTACCAATCATTTGATTCAATACAACTTGTTGATGAAGTTGCATCTTTTAACATGCATCATGATTTCAGGTCTATAAACCCAAAGCAATTTGATGATTTTGGTATAACCCCTATAGCTCATAACTTCATTCTGAGACTGGATGTGGATCTCCCTCAACTTTAAAAATAGATAACTACTTCGAAGATATTTCAGATAGTACTTTAGATTTATGGTTTTCCTAAAATGGCTGGAACTTATTTTAGTTTGTTGTTGGAGTTGTTTAATTGAGTATTATTGTATTATTTTGTTAGTATCGTATTAATGCATATTTTTTATTAACATTTAGTCGTTTGATTGATTATTTTTATTTTGTTTTTCAAACAGTTGTAAATGATTTTTTTTTACAAAATATATATAGGTCACAAAAAGGGTTGACCCATATACAGAGCTTAAGTGTAATGGGATTTATTCGCATATTCATGTAAGCATCATAAATATTGAAGAGAAATCTGGATCGTAATTGTGGAAAAGGAGTTCAGATTTGTTCTCAATTTTTTTTGGCGAGCTAGCTTCTAAGTCTGGCATACAATTATGAATCTAACCAAGGGAACATAAGTCCAGACTTTCATGTACATGATGCAAAAGTCTGGAAATAATGACTTCAGATTTAGTGATACATAGACATATCAGAGTTGTTTCCTTCATCTGAAACATTAATTATGTGAAGAGAATTCTGAATTTCCATTGGAGAGAAGTAGTTCAGATTTATTCTCAGATTTCTAAGGTATGATACCTTGTAAGTCTGGCATACAATTATGCACGTTGACAAAGACACATTCGTCCAGACTTACAAGTCTGAATACAGTGGATCCAGACTTAGTTAGACAAAGAACATATCAGAGTTGTTTTCTTCATTTGAAACATCAATTAAGCCACGAAAAAAGGAGAATAAACGTGTATAGGGACAAATGCCACTTAAGTAGACCCATTTGAATTGTAAGTGAAGCTCTGTGTGTGGGGTGACTCTCTGCATACAACACTTAAACGTTTTTAGGCCTTCTCATTAGCTCTGACTCGACAATCTGGTACATAACTCTGAAAAACGAACGTGCAAAAAAACTGACAAGCAGTTTCTTAATTTACGTTGTATTTAGACCTTTAATTTACGGTTTCCATAACCTCCTCATCTGGGTAATCATTTTCTTCTTATAAAATTATTATTATCACAGACAACTTCCATTTCTTACTACAGTAAAAAAAACATTCTTTAACACAACTAACTAACTGAGTCCATCTTCTCATGATTGTTCATTCTAATGTTTTATTATGTACTGACTTCATGTACTGGTTTCTTGTTGAAGAATTAATTTTCTTGCAGATCTTTTAAAAAAATTCCATGGATGCTAGAGAAAGGAGAAAATTTAGAAAGACGGTTTTGAATAGTAGTAGACAGTCATTGAAGTCTACATCATCAAATGTTGAAGGTATCTGATTCAAAAGCATTTTGAATTCGATTTTGAATGAGACAAATATTACCTGTTTAGAAATTATGTTGAAGGCACTTTTTGACAATTATACTTTTCTCTAACTTTTTACAGATAATATCTCAAATTATGATAGGCAATTAAGATCTTCATCTCAGAGGAATAATATTCCCTAAGAATATGGATCCAAACACATGTCCACAATATCAACATACAAACTTGGCACATTCTTCTTCAGATGTGACTATCACAAATCCATTATCTGATAGTGCTAATGGTATGTGTAATCTCTTGTACACCTCATTTTTAAAGTAATGCTTCAAATACATTTTCAATACTAACAAATGTCTTACATTACTTAAATTTGTATATTTTAAACAACAAGTGTTCATGTAAACAAACACTACTGGTTACGTTCTAGCGCCAATTCATCCATGCCTTTATCAACAATAGAGCAAGCTTCTTCTATGGTTCGGTTATCAGCAGGGCATCATAGATTACAAAGGAGGAATGTAAATGTAGTTGATATACCAATCATTGATATTACATCAGATGAAGAACCGGACCATCCAGTAACAGCTACAAACATAATTACAGGAATATCTAAAGGTAATTATTGATTAATCAAATGTTTAATACTTACAGTTAGTTATTAGATTCGAATTTATTAAACAGAGTGCTTGGATCACGGTGATGAAAGTGTTATTTGTGAATGTTGTGATGCAAAACTATGGATAGATGAAGCTCTTCGAGGGAAAAAATGTTGGATGAAAACAAGTTACTCCCTTTGTTGTCTTTATGGCAAAGTTCAGCTTCCAAAAGAGAAAGAGATGGCTACTTCTTACGTAAATCTGTTTCATTGTGAGGACTCAAAAAGCAAATACTTTATGAAGAACATTCGTCGTTATAATTCAATGTTCTCATTTACATCAATGGGTGGCAAAATTGATTCTTCCATTAATAATGGAAATGCACCATACATATACAGGCTTAATGGTCAAACTACCATAGGATGGGTAGTCTTCTACCACCAGATGGAACAAAACCGAAATTCTCTCCAATTGTACATATATGATACCGAAAATGAAGTTTCAAATAGACACAGTTCATTTAGGTATACATTCATCCTTATTGTAATATCTTTTAATAAATTTACTTGAATTACATAGTATGGTTATATTAATGCTCACTCTGATTTTATGTTTGTTATGATTTACTTAGTGAAAAACAAGAAGCCTCTGCATCAAATTYTGATTCCCTTGATATTGAGATTATTCAATACTTAAAGAACATACTAGATGCAAAACATGTGTTGGTGAATTCTTATAGAATTGCAAGAGATTGTTTTGAATGCTACCCGGATGTCAAGTTAAGGTTACGGCTGATTGGAAGAAGAGAAAAGGATGGAAGAACATATAACCTTCCAACTGCTTCAGAGGTTGCAGCTTTAATTGTTGAATATGATGGTGGTACAATTGAAAAAAGAGATATCATTGTACAACATCAGACAGGTTATTTACAACAAATAAGTGAATTACATCCTTCTTACCTTCCTCTTCAATATCCGTTGTTATTTCCATACGGAGAAGATGGTTACAGAGTTGACATTCCTCATAGAGAGGTAACATCTTCAAGCAAAAGTAAAAGAACAACTGTAACAATGAGGGAGTTCTTCGCCTTCAAACTTCAAGATAAAAGAAATATGTTCTCATTACTTCTCAATGCAATGAGGGTTCTACAATAATATATTGTTGATGAGTACACAATGATTGAAAGTGAGAGATTGCATTATATACGTAAGCAGCAGAAAGTCCTAAAGTGTGAGACATATGATAATCTATGCAATGTACAAGAACAAGGAGAGTGGGATGTTTCAAACATTGAACAACGTGTTACCTTCTTCTTTCACCGGTGGTGCGCGGTACATGATGCAAAATTATTTGGATGCAATGTCCCTTTGTAAATGGTATGGACATCCTGACTTGTTCCTAACCATGACTTGCAATCCAAAATGGCCAGAAATTAGAAGATTTGTTAAGGACACAGGCCTAAATCCAGAAGACAGGCCTGGCATTCTTTGTCGTTAGAGAATTGAAAGAGAATGAGTTTTTTTGGCAAAATTCAAGCAGGTATGTTCAATTTATGATAACAGTATCAACATATTTTTTCATACTTTTAGTCTTATCTTTATTAATTTAAATTGTAACTTTTTTGTAGTTGTTTATACAGTTAAATTTCAAAAGCGTGGATTACCTCACAATTATATCTGTTTACCGATATTTCAAGCTACCTACTGTTGAATAGATTTATCCTATCATCTCAGCTGAGATCCCAGACAAAAACAGTGATCCAGACTTGTACTTACTTGTAAAAGAGTTCATGATGCATGGACCATGTGGTGAAGAAAACATTAATTGTCCATGCATGATTGATAGAAAGTGTTCAAAAAAATACTCGAAGAAATTTTCTGAACACACTTCAATTGATGTTAATGGTTATCCTGTATACCGCAGACGAGTTGATGGACGTTTTATTGAAAAATCAGGTGTTAAACTAGACAACAGAAATATCGTTCCATATAATAAACATATGTTGAAAAGATATCAAGCCCACATTAATGTTGAGTGGTGAAATCAGGCATCTTCAATCAAGTATATGTTCAAATATATCAACAAGGGTCCAGATAGAGCTACTGTTGCAATTGTAGAAAACAGTGATGATGCGGTCACTGTTAATGCTGTTGATGAGATAAAACAGTATTATGATTATAGATACCTTTCTGCATGTGAAGCTTCATGGCGTATTTTTGGATATGATGTTCATTATAGGACTCCTTCTGTTTTAAGACTTCCTTTTCATCTTCCGGGATAACAACAAGTGGTGTTTGGTGCTGAAGATAATATTGATAATGTGCTAAACAGACCATCTGTGGCGTCTTTAATGTTCTTAGCTTGGATGCATTGTAATCAAATTTATCAAGAAGCACGAGAACTCACTTACGTTGAATTCACTACAAAGTTTGTGTGGAAATTGGACGAACGATGTTGGGATCAAAGGAAAAAAGGATTCTCAATTGGACGGATTCATTCAGTTTCTCCTACTGTAGGAGAAGGGTATTACTTACGAATTCTTCTAAATAAAGTCAAAGGTCCTAAATCATTTGAGGGCATTCGTACAGTTAATGGAAAAACATTTCTGACTTTTAGAGATGCATGTTATGCTCTTGGGCTTTTAGACGATGACAAGGAATATATTGAAGCCATTGAAGAGGCAAATTTAATTGCATCTGGTTTTTATCTCCGGTTCTTATTTGCAACAATGCTGATTTCAAACAGTCTATCTAGACCTGAATTTGTTTGGAAAAAAAATGGCAATACTTAGCAGATGGGATTTTGTACAAACAACGAATTGCTTTACAGTCGCCAAGTATGTTAATTCTATATCTTAAGCATAGAGTTATACAACTATTATAAAAAACTATGGTTGTTATTAAATTGTATCTACTTTTAATTTCATGTATTAATTGTTCACATTTATATTATCTTCTTGCAAATTTATATCTTAATGAAGAACAAGTGGAGAATCTAACTTTGTTCGACATTGAAAAGATTTTGCTTCGTAACAATTCCACGTTGAAATACTTCACTACACTGCCTTATCCTGATAATGACTTGCTTGAATCCTTAAACAACCATTTGA